CACTTAACAATAAGAACAACATTATAATAGTCAAGAGTGTGGGTCTTGAAGTCAAATGCCGTTTCCTGGACCTTACCCAGCTATGCAACTTTAGGCAAGTGGCCAGATCTCTGTAATCCTTTTGTTTCATTATTCATGTCAGACAATAATAGCAATATTTTCTATTGCTAACAACAACTGAAGACTATTCCTATGAGGATAAAAAGTTGTAACTGATGTCAGACATCCAGTTTATATGTCTGGTATCTAATTGGTCTTCAGTAAATAGCAGCTGTTAATGGGGACACTGGTGAATGTTGGCTCCATAGCATAAGCACTATACTGCAAACCACAAGGTTGGCAGTTAGAGCCCACCAGCCATTCTGCAGGAGAAAGATGGAACTTTCTGCCTTGCAAAAGATTTAAGCCTCAGAAACTCTATACAGGGTCACTGTGAGTTGAAACTAACTCCATGGCATTGAACAACAGCAGCAATGGAGATAATTATGTTTCAATACACTCAAGTAATGGAACCTAGAAATATGTAATATTTAACATGTAACATATGTAACAGAACTAAAGGTTCTGTTCTGGCCTATGGTGTCCCTGTGTAGGGTTTCCAAAACGCGGCTGGTGGATTTGAACTGCTGACCTTAGGGTAAGCCGTCCAGCACTTAACTTACAGTGCCATACCAGAACATAAAGGTGGTGCTTGTTTTATTATTTTTTTTTACATTAAATTCAACTTTTTTCTGATGCTAATCTCTACTGATGGAAGTCAGCACATTTATGAGTTAATAAACAAGTGAATTATAAATGTGGCAATTATGGGCAATTGTGTGGCACTGTGGGTTAATGCGCCAGACTGCAAAGACATTTGAACTGCAAGGTCAGTGGTTCAAGTTCACCAGCTGCTCCTCAGAAACCCTATACAGGGTCGCTATGGTTGGGAATCGACTCAATGACACTTAGCAACAACAACATTATTTTGCCAATTTTTGAAGAGAGTCAAGATTAAAATATTACAGATAATTGTGCCTGATTTTACAAAGAATTGTATACTTTGTCGGCTAGTATCTCTGCAAAGAACCCTAGTAGCACTGTAGTGTAAGCATGTCATTTTTTTAGTAAGTGTCGTCGAGTCAGGTTCGACTCACAGTGACCCTATCTAGGGTTTCCAAGGAACAGGTGTTAGGTTTGAACCTCTGACCTTGGGGGTAGCAGTCTAGTGCTTATTCTACAGTGCCACACCAGAACTCCTTGTTTGTCATTAGCATAATTATTATTTGATATTGTTAAGTGCTGTCAAGTTGATTCTGACGCATAGCAACACTGTGTAGTGTTTCCTAGGAACAGCTGATGAGCTTGAACTACTGACCTTGTGGTTCAAACCAAGCTTGCTGTCCATTCGAGGACTCCATAACTATTATAACCAACAACAGAAAGCCTGAATGCTCTGAGTCTCACAGTTCAAAGAGGCGTTCTAAGCACATTGAATGACTTGGCTCTAAAGGAAGGCTGCACCAACACCTTCCTGTCCAAGCTTCTGTTCTGTTGCTTTTACTTATGCTATTTTCAGTGCAATGTGAAAAGGTTTGAGTTTCTTTTTTCCAGCATATGCTTCTGTTGTTAAATTTTATGAACTGATTGACATATTGTGATCAGCAAAAATATTCACATGATGCTTTGATTGTCATTGTAAAAGCTGTTTTTGCTTTTTTTTAATTCTGTGCTAAGTACTTGTGATTTATTTGAAAATAAAAATAAAACGTATATGGATGAGTGTTTATCAAAGATGGAATAAAAGAAAATTCATTAAGTTGCCATTTAATCTCTTGATTATCAGCGTATTATAGCAACAGTTACTATATGATGTTACCATATGTTTCTGATTGATATTTCTACTCATACTGAAATATGATGACTCAGTACCATTTTGTAATTATTTCCATATGCTGTATGTAGAAGTTATATTTTACAATTTCATATTAATTGACTGTGCAAAAGTCAGCTATAAGAAGTTAAATACTATTGGTTAGAAAATATAAGAGGTTAATTTTGTTGTGATATCCAAAGGGTTAATTTATGCTATCTACTTAAAGATGAGAGAGATTAATTTTGCTAGTACTTCTAAAATTATTAACAAAGTATGCACAAATAAATAGCTGACCCTAAGGAAACCAGAATATTATTTAAATTAAGAAGAATGAAATCTAGAAATACTTCCAAGAGTTTATCTCAAGGAAAGCACCTCTGTTTTTTTATTAAACAGTTGAGCAACAAGCAAGTACCTGTATATTATACACATTATACAGCAAATTTCATTTTATGCTTAAAAGTTATATTAGTGTCTCTAGTATTCGGAAACCCTGTACAGGGTCGCTATGGGTCGGAACCGACTCAACGGCACTTAAAAAAAACAATAACATATTAGGTTTCATCACCATGGGAATAAGCAAACAGTGGGCGTGCCAATGACCAGTTACCAAAAAAAAAAAAAAAAAAAAAAAAACAAAAAAAAAAAAAAAAAACAAAGTATATAGTGATAGTACTATTTCTTTGTTTTACAAGCTCTCATTAGATATATTGTTACATGCAAATCTTTCCTAAAAGATTTTTTATTAAAATTAAATTGATGTCTTCACCTTTTTGTTTTCAGTTTGATTTAGGTTTTTATTTTTGTTTTGTTTTTTTTCGCAGAGCGTCCTCTTCACTACACAGAAAATGTGTTGGAGCAGGTGCTTCGGTGGAGTTCTTTAGCTGAACCTGGCTCTGCTTATCTCGTGGTGAAGAAATTCTTAACCATCGACACCATCAAACACTACAGTGGTAGGTGCCATTATTTCACATAGCAATGACAACTAAAAAGTCAGGTGACTAAAGGATAATTTTGGCAATCCAAATAGTATGTGAAAATATAAGAAAATGAGTAGCCAGAGACAGAATCAACTCACAGAGCAGAAATTGTTGTTTCTGTTAAGTGCCGTCAAATTGGTTCCGACTCATAGCAACCCCATAGAGGGTTTCCAAGACTGACTAGTGGGTTTGAACTGCCGACGTTCAGGCTCAAACTGACCTTGCAGTCCAACATGCTATCCTGCAACACCACACCAGAACTCCAAGTAGCAATTGTTGTTAGGTGCCATCGAGTTAGTACCAACTCATAGTGACCCTATACACAACAGAACGAAACACTGCCCGGTCCTGGACGAACTTCACCATTGTTGCCACACTTGAGCCCATTGATGCGGCCACTTTGCAAATCCATCTCGCTGGGGGGTCTTCCTCTCTTTCTTTAACTCTCCACCTTACCAAATAATTATATTCTTCTCTAGCAACTGGTTTCCCCTGACAATATGTCCGAAGTGTGAGAGACAAAGTTTGGCCATCCTGGCCTCCAAGGGGCACTCTGGCTGCACTTCTTCCAACACAGATCTGTTGGTTCTTTTGGCAGCCC